AGGCTTTGGAGAAAGATAAAACCCAATGACATTTTGAAATAGTATAAAAGGTCTCCGTAAATTACCATTCGTGTAACCAGTTGTCTTGTCCTACTGAAATAGAAATTCTTTAGAGATGCAACTTAAGTGTTCTCGATGATTCAGAGGCCGGTCTTTTTATTGTGTTCTCCGAGCTTGCGTACCATCTGTTGAGACATACGCTTAGTTGGATGCAACATCTGTCTCTTGCTTAAACAAATCGTTCATCCGTGAACATTTCTGCCAGTTTCATGTTGAAACAAAAATTATTTGTACCACTGAAATAAACTTCATATTTGTTTCCGAAAATACCCACATTCCGAAAGTTACGGGACATGGCAATTTATATCAGTGCTTGCCACTGTATGTTAGTTGTTGTAACGGGAGATTTTGTGGGCAAGCTGAAATAGATACTATTTTCTAGGCATCTGCAACGAACTAACGATTCCTAGTTTGGGCCACGGTGTTGATAAGTATTGTCTCTGAATAGTGGAAGAAAGTTTTAGAGAGAACAGGACTTTTGCGAAATCGAGATGACGAAAAGTGAATGTCCGACACTTTTACAGGGTTGGTGGACCCACCTAGGTGAACTAGAAAACCTTGACTCCAAACAAATAGTGCACATGAACTCCAGGATCCAAAGGGCACGAAAAGTGTATGAACCTATTATTGGTCACCCGGCTACCATAGGACCGCATCTCCACTGCCTTGTGGATTATACTTTTAGGTCAAAGGCTCCGGTTGTGACCCTCTAAGAAAACCGCCTGCTTCGGTTTGGACGACGTTCCAGCCCTCACACATATCAATGACAACTGCTACTGGCCCCATTGTTTCTGTGTGACACATATGTATCTGGTGCCCTCTTTTACTAATGTCTGTGTTCAAATAAATGGTACTCCACAGAGCATCTCATCACATCACCAAAATTTCATCCCCTTTTTAGTTTGTCAGTCAAGCGATGAATCTTCACTTCAGAAGATACCAGACCGAGACTCGCTACGCTACTGGAATTTTGTAGCGGCTCATACGATGCTAGTAAAAAGGGATTTCTCAGAGCTGCAATCACTAAATTTAAACTAATTACAAACATATATGGACTGTAGTATGCCATATCTGATTCTCATTTCTTCCATAATCCGATTACGTCATGATATAGTTATAAGGTCAATCAATGACACGAAGTTATCTCCAAACAATTCGCAAACTTTATACTATAAATTTCTAAACCCGTATTTGTATGTGGAAACCTACTTATAAATTTTTTACGGTTATCTCCAGTATCATCTGTTAAACTATGCTTTTATAATTAATGTCACAGTAGAATTCATCATCAATGTCAGTCAGTCAGCTATAACGTAGGATCAGTCATGTATATGCATCGGTCCAAGTTGCCATACCTCATTAGCATAGCAAGATGAACACCGGATTCATATGAACAGTTAAGTCAGTGGTGGTAATATACAAAAGAAAGATTGCATATAAGGATATAGTACAGGAAGGAAGAATTAGTTCGTAGAAAGAAAGATACGAGGCGATTTTAATCCCTTAGTTTAATGGAAGACAGAGTGTATACACCTACGCCATTGTGATCGATTCTGAGCCATGTCACTAAGAGTCTCCAACCATTGGTTACGATAGTCACGCGGACCCAGACCAGGTAGTTTGCATCTACCAACATGGCTCAGACCAGAAGTTAGTGACTTCAAGGACTGATGCCACGTTTTGGTTTGGCCGACTCTAACTTTCTTTCAATTATCCCTAACAACGGTTAGCATTGCACGTCGTGGTAATCGGTGTTCAGGCATACGCAGCACGTGGCCCAACCATCTCAGTCGATGAAGATTCACAACCTCATCAACTGATTTACCATCATTCCCTAATACCCTGCATCTAACCTCACTATTAATTACCCGGTGATCCCAGCAATATTTCTAAGACTATATCATCTGCGTATTCTAAGTTGATAAGTGGACCTTCTGGAAAGATGTCAATTCCTGAAAATTCAGTTGACGAGAGAGTTATTTTTAGCAGTAGGTCTATGATGAAATTAAACAAAAATGGAGAAAGTGGACAACCTTGCCGGACACCACTTGAGGTTGCAAAAGCAGATGGCAGTTCGCCATAAGCTCTTACTCACTTAGTAGTGACCGAGTAGAGCCTTCCCAAAGTTTATGTACTTCTGAAGGTAAATCCTTCAATGACAGACACTGCCATAGAATCCCTCGATCAAGAGTTAAATGCTGCTTTCAAGTAAAGAAAAACTGTCCTTGTCGAACGCCGATAAACATGCCTGTGCTCTAGAACCTGACGAATGGTGAATACGTGGTCGATGCGGCCACGACCAGGTCTGAAACTAGCCTGATTTTCTCGTGCTTGCAGTTCACGAGTCTTTGTTATGCGCCCAATAATTATTGAGGCTAGTATTTTAGATGCTATTTTAGTCAAACTAATCCTTTTGTGGTTATCGCAGGATGATTTTGACCCCTTATATACTGAGACAATCAGTGATTGTGACCAATCAAATAGGATTACGTCCAACTCCCAGATTTAGCTAAAATGTTAGTCAACCTAATCGCTAAAATTGGACCACCATCCTCAAAGAAATCTGGATCTAATCCATTCGGTCCAGCTGCCCTTCCTCGTTTCAGACTAACTATAGCCTTTTGAACTTCAGCTAGAGTTGGGGGACCTACTTCAATGTTCCGTTCAGGCTGTCTCGGAATGGTGAGTAGTTGTAGAGTAACTGAGGATCAGCTGAAGTGTTCTCTAAAATGTTCCGCCCATCGTTCTAAACGTTTTTTATAAGTTTGAAGAACTGTCTTGTGTTACATACAACCGCCGCCTTTCCCATCTCTTTTGCTTTCGCTGCCCACCACTGCTCACGATCATTCGTTAGACTTTTGCTTAACCTAGATCTGATTTTTTTACACTCTTCATCGTGTTCCGAGCCTGATGGGATGAGTTTGCGAGAATATATCAGTGCAATAGACCTTGAAGAAATCCATTGGTTCTTTGTAACCCTGAGGTTTAAATCACTAATAGATGTCACTGCTGTTTCCACAGCTGCTTGTATATTTTTCCAAGCAACATCTGGGTTAGCCCCGTTTTTAGAACTACCTAAGTGTGACCTCAGTTGTTCCTGGAATCCACTTTTGGTTTTCTCATTACTCAATTCAGTTCTAATGGGTCTTTTTTGCGCCCGATGAAGCGCAAGCAGGTATCGTAGAATAAGCGACAATCCCCTATCGACCCTCTCCAACGATGACTGATGGCAATATGGTCTATTTGAGTCCATCGTTGGTTTGGTGCAGGGGGTCGCCAAGTTAGACGATGTCTCTCCTTATGCTTAAAAACAGTGTTTGCTAAAAATAAACAACTGTCTAAGCACAGTTGCAGCAGAGGATCATCATTATCTGTTCGTTGTGCCGGAATACCAAAATACCCGCCTAAATGGTTTAACCTACATATCTGGGTATTAAAGTCACCTACGAGTACTATGTCTGAACGTTTACCTTTTTTGAAGAAGTTCAGATAGCTTTCTGTAAAATCCATCTTTCATTTTATCCGAGCTTTAGTCAGCGGGAGCGTATGCAGAAACGACCTGTCCCTATCCTTCCGAGTTTTTACGGAGTCGTCTAGCCGAACAAAACATAGGCGATTGCTAACGGGAATCGACTCTAGTAGTTTGTTCCACCCTCATGCTAAGTACTATGCCTACACCTGCCAGTTCACGAGAACTAGCCATCAAGTCGCCAGATACACGGAGGGTGTGTCTCATCGGATCTCCGTTTTGCCGAGGCGAGGTCAAGTAAATGACCACACTAGGATCCTGCATGCGTGTTTCGAAGACACAGAATACATCAATGGTACGAGATTCTAGGGTTTTAGCCAAGGAGGCCTGCTGACCGATTTGATATAGTGTGCGTACGTTGAAGGCTCCAATGTGTAGTTTGGAGCGAGGTTTCAGTAGACCTGGGACAGTGTTTTGCGCACTAGAATTTTCGGCTATGGTGACACTTGAGGAGGAAGACAAAAGATGAAGTTTAGATTTGAAAGTCGATTCAGGAGGAATAATAGGAATTGAAAACGGAGGTTGATTATGGACCTTGAGGAGCGGTTGTTCCAGACAGTATAGCTCGGTTGCTTCGTTACGATAGGCACCCCCAACCACCACGTTAAGGTAGCAACAACGGTCGGGCATCATCAATGAACAGTATGCGGCAATCCAGGACACGAAAAGGCTAGTGGACCGTACCACCGTCCAGTTGTTACTATGATAGTTCTGTAACGCACTTAGAAGAAATATCCAAAAGACGACATAATCTTACATTTTTAGAAATTAAGCTCATCAGTAAACCTTGAGTTATTTTCATACTTATATTCCTGGCCCCTCTCATAAGACCTTTTTACGGTCATTAGCGTTTGCGAATGCTTTGTCTGCTTTCAAACGTTGTACTTGTTTTGTAAATCAGAGTACATTTTGCAACTGTACTCTTATCGATTTTTAAGTTAGAAACCTTGCGTAGCTTCTATAATGTGTACGTAAAACAAATCGCAGATATCTATGCAGCCGGTTTACTCCAATTCTTGTAAATACTTTTGATCATTGCAAATGGAATAATAAGAATAATCACAAAATTTTATTATAAGGTCGCGGTTCCTTAACTATTTGGGGCCATTGAATTACACTCAGAAGAGCTTTTCTACAATGTATTTCCGAATGTTTTAATCTATAAAACTTTTTAATTCACCAATCAGATCTATTGTTTGTTAATAAGATGTATAACAACTGATATATGAAAGAAAGCGAGGCAAATATATTTAATTGAAGATACAATTAACTTGAAGATAAGTGAGGATTACACTCTTATTCTTCAAAATCTTGGAGATGAAATCAAATTGTTATGAACCAATACACATTGTAGGAAATTTGGTTCATTGTGCAATACAAACGCCCCCACATTCAAACCAGAATATAATTTTCATTGAGAATGGAATATACATAACTCTATCTATGGTTAGATGTAAGGAGCAAAGTGTGTTAAACAAATATAGGCAGTATATATATATATATATATATATATATATATATATATATATATATATATATATATATATAAAGAATCTATAAGTACTTGACAATATAAATGTCATTAAAACAACCTATTTAAACGCTTGACTGTCAATATCTTACACACAGAACGATTGCCTTATGCAGAACGTCGCATTCCCAGAAAGAATTTGAGTAGTATAAGATTATAAAAACGACCTAAGTAATAGGTAATAACTAAAGTACCCCCCCAATAGACAATATTCAGAAGGTCTATGGAAGACGTGAGAACCAGGAAAAAAGCTGATATAGCTTTAGATCACCACCAACAGGTGGTTGCCAAGATAAAATTGAAGATAAAGAAACACTGCTAAACTGGGGAAACAGCATTACAAAGGTTCAATACATACTTCCTTCGACATATTGACAAATTCAACATAGCTCTCAACAACATCTTCAATGCCCTACAAGAAATACTATTGAAGACAACTTAAAACGGATCAGAGAAGCACTAACTTCAACACGTCAGGAGGTAGTGGGTCACATAAGTATCATCATAAGGAATCAATCTCTATGGAAACCCTGGACAAGATTTACGAAAGGAAGAACAAGAAGACAGCAATTAACAACAGCCAAACAAGAACAGAGAAAGTTAAAACACAAGCCGAATACACCAAAGCAAACGAGCAAATGGAGAAGAGCATTAGAGATGACAAGTAGAAATATGTGGAAGGCTTAGCGGAAAAAGCCGCAAGAGAAGGAAATAGGAAACAATTAAATGACACGATGAATAAACCGACAGGGAAGTATAGTAAACCATAGTGTTCAGCCAAGGACAAAGAAGGAAAGCTAATCACTGATATTCAATAACAGAGAAACAGATGGGTGGATCACTTTGAAAATCTCTTGAATGGACCAACCACATTGAACCTACCGGACATCAAAACAACACACACACACAGACCTCCCTACAGATGTCACTCCACCAACGATCGAAGAGATCAGGGTGGTAATCAGACAAATCAACACTGGGAAAGCAGCATGACCTGACAATATACAAACCGAAGCACTAAAGCCAGTCAGTGGTCTTGAGTGCTGTTAGAGGTATGAGGACGGTTATCACTTCCCGGTTGCCCACACCGTGGAAGGGTTCTCATGGAGGTACCTGAAAAGGAAATTGGGTTAGAGGTGGTCATAGTGACCTGAGAGCGTGACCGCAGTGCTCAAGGACAGCTGCTTAACGTTGGTCACACACGACCTTTTTATGAGTAGCTTTTGTGTTAGCTCCGTACTTGTTGAGACTTTACCGCCGGAGACGGATATCCGTGAGATAAGGCGAGGTGTGTATTTTTAGGATCGACCTTTTCTAACCCCGTCCCCCTTGCGGAAAGGCAGCATCGCTGTCATGCTGGTTGTCTGAAGGAAACACCTTACTGCTGTCACAGCTCTGTACAGTCAGCAGTACGACTTCGCCTTCTGACCTTGGTTTTGTTGCTTTTAGTCTTATTGCTCTTCAACCGGCCTGTCTGGCATGGTAGGACCTTGAGGAGCGGTTGTTCCAGACAGCATAGCTCAGTTGCTTCATTACGGTAGGCACCCCCGACCACCACGTCAAGTTAGCAACTAAAGTCACACATACTTCACGTTCTATTCAGGAAGATTTGGGAGGAAGAACAAGTGCCGACAGACTGGGAAGAAAGACACATCATCAATACATCAAAGATCTGAACAAATGTGAGAATTCAGCTACAGAGGCATCACACTACTATCGGTACCAGAAAACGTTTTTCGTAGTGTCGCTGAACCGAATAAAAATTTCAGTAGACACCCAGCTTCAAGATCAACAGGCCGGATTCCGTAAGAACCGGTCGTGCACAGATCGAATCGCGACACTACGGATCATCGTTGAACAATCAATTGAATGGAACTCGTCACCATACATCAACTTCCTTGACTATGAGAAGGCGTTTGACTGAGTGGATAGGAGAACCTTATGGAAACTTCTCCGACACTACGGTGAACTTGAGGAGATTGTCGACATCATCCGGAATTCACACGACGGACTACACTGCAAAGTGGTGCATGGAGGACACCTGACAGATGCATTTCAATTAAGGACCAATGTCAGACAAGGCTTCGTACTATCGTCTTTTCTCTTTGTTCTGGCGGTCGACTGGATTATGAACACCTCGACATCCGGGGAAAAGCATGGAATACAATCAACAGATTGGATGTAACTAGACGATTCGAACTTTTCAGATGACCTAGCTTTTCTATCCCGTACAAACAGACAAATGCAGGTCAAAACAGCCACTGTGGCAGAAGCCTCAACATACACAAGGGAAAGGCAGCATCCTTGAATACAACACGGAGAACACCAACTCAAGCACACTTGATGGAGAAGCTCTGGAACAGGTGGAAACTTCCATGTACTCGGTCAGCAGCATCATCGGTGAACGAGGAGGATCGGATGCAGACGTAAAGGCAAGGAACTCAAAACAACTGTCAACCAATATCAAATTCAGAATCTTCAATACGAACGTCAAGACATTTCCACTGTACGGAAATCAAACTTCGACTGCTACTACAACCATCATCAAAAAGTTACAAGTATTTATAAACAATTGTCTACTCAAGATACTGAATGTTCTTTGACCAAATACCATCAGCAACAGCCTACCGTGGGAAAGAACAAACCAGCTTCCAACTGAAGAAGAAATCGGGGAAATACGCTGGAAGTGGATAAGACATACATTACAGAAATCACCCAAGTGCATCACGATGCAAGCGCTTACTTGGAATCCTGAAGGGAAACGGAAAAGAGTAGGGCCAAAGAGCACACTGAACCATGAATTGGAAGTAGACATGAGAAAAATGAATAGCGACTGGAGAGGATGTTTCAGGTCAGAATTGGATGGAGAATGATGGTAGGCGGCCTATGCTCTTTTACGAGGAGTTGGAGTCTAAAAGTGATCAAGTCTGAAATGCAGGGGTACATATAAATGACGAGTCCTAAGTATGAATAAATGCACGTCCTGGATTCCACTGCATTCCATTTATTGTGTGCATATTTGTATCTTAATAGCAATTTCGAAGCAGTCCGTGCAGAATGCACATATTCCAACGAAGAATAATCAAATTTCAGTTAAAATATCAATGACGAGATCATCTAAATCTTTACAAAATAATATTGGATGAATTCGTAAATTTAGAAACGGTTGTGTTAATCACGTTCTCGCGGAGATAATGAAATAAAAGATACAACCGTATTTACATAGATTAACAGATACAACATAATCTAGAGAGATATATGTATCAGTGGAACTAGATCTATACATAATTTATATACGAGAACAATATGGATAAAGGATTAGACTAGTTTTAGGAAAAGAATCTGTTGAATTTTATCCTCAATTTTTTTTAGAATATCTTTTATATTTTTGTAGTTACATGGTATCGACCATAACAGTGGTAGTAGCGAATTTTTTCGTCTGTTTATCATCAGAAAAAAGTGTTATTGATTAACTCCACAAAAGAAGGGAATTTACAAGATGGACAGTTAATTATGGGATGGAACCAGTTTATATTTTAAAACTACAATTTACGCATAACAGATTACTACATGGGTATTTCTGTAACAAATAGAATAGCTTATCAAGCACATTGGATGACTAATTTGTAGTTAAATTAACTTCAGGTATATGTAAATTTGTAGAGGAAACTTGGGAATAAGGAATAAAAAAATCTCAATAAAATCCCGATATATATATATATATATATATATATATATATATATATATATATATATATATAACTCAATTAATTTAAAGGATACTACCCTAAGTCCACGTTCTGATGGATCAATCATAAGTAATCCATTCGGTAAAAATAATTTCTCATTTAAATCCGCAACAGCTAAAGTCACTTTATGCAATACCTGGAACAGTTACAGACCAAAATAACCCATCACGAATCATTATGAATTATCAGTAGAATATTGTATATTGAAGAATGATTATGAAGAACACGATAAATAATAAGATAAATCAAGAAGAAATATTAACAGTATAAACGAAAATTCATTATGATTAGTCTAAGAATTACCAATATAAGCCACGATTGATCGAAAAAATGCTTACGAATTAGTAATTTTTTAAAAAATGAATATCTTTATATTGTCTATGACCTCACTATATTCTACTATGCATTTTATGGTTTGTGAACAGATTATATTTGTGTCTGTAACTTACTTTTGGATTTTCGGTTGGATATTGTGTAACGTATGACCTAATCTAATGGTCTATTTATCTAGTATATCGATCGATTTTCCAAACTAGTGTTTGGCTAATTATTCTATTACCTACTAGTTGTGTTATCTCATGGCAAACGATAAATCATTCATTTCCTCCGTAATGTCAATTAGCTAGAGTCAGAATTTGCCAAAGTCATAATGAGAATGATGTTTAAACTGTCATCCCATTATGGAGTCAATAAAATGAAAGCGAATACGAATACTTATCAAAGTTATTAAACGTTGGTAATAAATTAACTGAAGTCAAAAAATAACAACCAATAAAGAGATATTTACTATGAAAACGTAATATCTGGAAATATATTCGTTCAGTGATCAAGTAATTTGTTAACTCCACAACGTTTTAATGATCGTCATTTGAATTGGGACCATTTTCAAATCTGAGTTGTTTTTCTAAATCATCATGGTCTTAAATCCGTGGAAGAAGTAATATAAATCAGGAGGGAGAGGAGAACACATCAGAGCGTTCTAAAAATACATTGTTTCAAACAAACCGCTAAATGCTTTTGTTGTTTAGTTTTCAGTTTGTCGGAAGTTTATTTCAATAGTAGTTACATCAGAAAAGACTTATCATATACCATTTAATTTGATTGCTTAATTTGACACGTCAGTTATTCAATAATAAAGTAGAAACTGACAAAGATATGCATTGACCCAAGTTCCCTCACCTGATTAATATGGTGAGGTGAGTTGCGAAAGAGATCGAAATAATGTAGGAGCAATAATCATCAGTCTCGCGCACGAACGCATAACCTACTGGACCACTGAAGGCCCTGGGTTCGAATCTCGCGAGCGGGATCGTGAATGTGCACTGCTGAGGAGTCCCACACTAGGACGAAACGGCCGTCTAGTGCTTCCTGGTTTCCAACGGTGGTCTAGCATCAGTCGGTTCAAGATCTCAATCAAAAAAACTTAATAATTTCCACAACCCCAATACTGATAAATCCTAATCAGTTAGTCAATTGTAACCTGAATGCGAATTGATACAAATTTGTATCAACTCAAGTTGACAAATTTCACATCAACAAAGAGATAAGATGAAAGATAATTTAACGTGGTTTAGAAATTGAGATCCTTAATTTACGATGTTAATGAGGCGGTTAAAATTGATAGCTGATGCTTAAATGACACGGATAAAAAAATACAACGAAATAAATTAACTCATTTATTTTTATAAATATAGTACGAATTTCAAGCATTTAGTAAAGTGTTTACGACAGTTATATCTATCGAGTAAAAATTTCTGTTCCCAATACTGATTAAACATCGGTACCAAAAAATCAAATTGTTAGAATTAACATGTAGTTATAATACTTCCCAAACACTTAAAAATCATCTTACCTTATCATAATGTGTCTTCATGCATAAAAATATCAGATATGCTGTTAAACAACCAAATAAGTTCTCTAGACAAACTGAAGAATTAATTGTTTCAGCTTCATCGAATAATTTATTCAAACGAGCGATTGCATCAGCGTATCGATTAGGAGGAATCTATGCGTAAAACAATAAATGGTCGTAAACATTAGCGAATAGTAGTATAAGTAATGGGGAAAAATCTGGTTTTTCCAAATAATTGAAATCAACGTTAACACAACAACTTACACGTCCACGAAGTTGTAAAGGCATTGGCAAAGTTTGAAATCGTACTGCTGTACCAGATGAATAATCACGTTGAATGAAAATACGTTCACAAGGAACCATAGAGTTATTAGGCCGTTCTTCACTACCCATAACTATGATAATAACTGTCTATCTACCCTAAAATGTGTAATGTTTAAATAAAGGACAGATTTGAATTTATAGGTATAGTCCTATTGTTTATAAAGTTTACGAAAGTAAAAATTTTGAAGACAAACCTATATGAGTTTATGTGTAATATACACTGATTTAGAATAAAAGTATATGTAAACTATAGTTTCACTTGGTTAATATTGAGTTGAACAGAAGTGAGCGGGATCCACCTACCAACAAGAACTCCACGAAACTATTTTAATCTGTCAGGCTTCAAAGTAAACTGGTCCGTTCAACTATATTTTACACATTTATGTTTTTTGAGGGGGGCGGGGTTGTGTTGTGAATTTTTGTAACAAACAAAAATAATTACTGCTAGAAACACAAAAACTGGATATATTATGTAAGTAATAAAAAATACACTATTATACTAAGTTTCGGATTAGACTACTTGTTACTTATTTAATTGTGATCAGAATCTGACCTTTGATTTGTAAGTTGAATCAATACCACTTCAATAACTTTTTAAACAATAACCTGTGTAACTAGAAGGCATAAGGCAGAAATGTCGAAAATCACCTGACCATTTGTCAAATATAAGATAATGACCGGCTTAAAATGTAAACAGGTTAGACCTCGAACGAATTTAACACAACTATTGCAGATTTGTTCATAGTGAAAATTTCAATGGTAACCCTAGTATAAAATAAACTTCATTGAATCAGAAGCGAAATGGTTAAATTTGATTAAAGTTGATAATTGGAAATCACACTAAGTAACTTTCTAGTGAAATTTAAATTTAACCGATAATCAGCATTCACAAGTCAATCAAGTGAATTGATATACTCAGAAGTTTATAGTTTACATGTACCAATAAACTACATACTTCAACCATGAATTCATACAAATCAGAGAATAAGTATGGACTTCAAAGCATATTTGTTATGTGAGCGAAAGACACACTATGAAATCGCTTGAACATAAGTGAATGGAGTGCCTTTTAGATTTATGTTATGATAGATGATATTTAAGTGTTTAAATCATTATTTTTGTACAATACCAAAATTTTAATAGAAAGAGTAACCTCAGATCGTTTAATAAATTTTTTAAAAACAGTTCATATCTTAATATTATTTTGAAAAAAGTCCAGTAATCCATGAAACACAACCACACGTAAATTAATCACAAACCCCACATTAATAAACACACACATATATACAATAACCACATTATATATACAGCGTACATAATGTACAATAACCCAACACTGGTTTCTAAACAGCTCTTAGGACCGTTAAACAGGATATATGAAATCTATTACTTTACTAAAATTTTGCTTTATGTCACTTTTCATTTACACCATATGACTGAAAAATGTAGTAACTGGAAATATATTCAGCTAGTGATAGGTATCCAATTGTATCAATCCTTCCACATTCGAAGTGTTTTGCATATGATCTAATGAAGGAGAAGACATGAGTAAACTGAAGCTCTTTGATCATAGCTGCCTTTGGAGCACTGATCGTGCATTGTGGAATAACCAAATGACCAATGTTTAGGTTAGACATTGGGTACGAAGTGATGATTTCATTTGTGGATCTTGATCTACTGAAGAGAATAGAAGCCAGTGGCGATCCTGCTGTAACCTTCTTTTACTTTCTTCATAAAAAGTGGTTGCTTCTTCCTTAACTGAAAGATTTCTTTCGATTGTACCTTCCGTCTCCCCATTATTGTTCTCTCTTCTTTTTTTTATAACTCCCTACGTTCATTACTTTTTTTCCCTTGTCTTTAAATTCTAATTGTTTTGTGTGGCGCATAAATATTTGGTGCCCCCTTTTATCAATATTTATGTGTTCAAATAAAATAAATAAAAGTTGGTTGGCAGATAACTAGGGGTGGCCGAATCCAAACGTGACCTCAGTCCTTGAAATCATTGACTATTGATCTGAATCAAGTAAGTGGATTCAGACTGGTTGATTGGCGTATGTATGTTAACAGCGGTCAGATATCGTAGGTGTTAGGTAAGACGGTTCAGAAGTGTTTACAATGACACAGGTGCACTCACTCTTCATCTTCCCCTGAATGTCGAGTTCTGTTCTATAATGGGATAGTCATTTTAATTGTTTTTAATATTTATTGTTTCTAGATTACATCTTTTATTACATTACTTTCGCTATTCACTTAGTCATGTTAATGAGTTGTTGCTACTTTGGTCAATTCATATTTGACCGTAACTAGCTGATTATAATTCAAAAGGAAAATAACTCAACTGAAGGGGGAGAGAGAGAACGCACGCAACTAACAAGTGCATGTGACCCACAGTTGTATTTCGACCAGAAAAGTTTCTAAAGTTCGAGAGTTACAAGCTGCTAATTAAAAAAACGATAACAACATTATAAACCTTCATTCTTCAATCAAAACAAATATCAAAGTGTATAAAAATGAAACAATAGGAAGAACAATAATGTGATCTAATCTAGTTTTATTATGATATTTCTGTTTGTATTTTTATCAAATACAATTACATATAAAAGTTATGAATGAATAGATTTTTTCACTCTTTTGTTTTTTACTTTTAAAATCAACAATAAAATATTTCAATAGAGGAAGAAGAAAAAGGAATGGCACTTGTTTTCCACACGATTTTTATTGAACTGTATTGTTTTTTTTTATTCATGAGATGAGTAAGCAGCCCCTAAAATAAGGCATGGACATTAATTCATATAACACAAACTGGAATCACGAGAAAGATAATTCAAAGTTGTTGTTATTATCAAACACATGTCTCCACAGCGATTGCAATTCCCATACCACCACCTATACATAAAGCAGCTACACCTCGTCGAACAACAGTTGAATGATCACCGCCACTGACATCATGATCTTTACAAAGCCGTTGTAACGAATGCACTAATGTGACCAATATACGAGCACCACTGCATCCAACTGGATGACCTAATGCAATTGCACCACCGGATATATTCAATTTCTCTGGTAATATACACAATTCAGTAGCAATCTGAAAGAAGTATATAACGAAATAGAAAAGAAAATCTTTTTTTCTTCTGATGAATTAGTAAAGAAAAACAAAGAAATGATATACACAGGTATACAATCCTAACTAGTGAGAGCTCGAATTATCCTACTGTTGAAATTCAGAACTGGATTTTGATAAGATTTTGTTAGTAAATATGGACGCCCTGTGAGTATTGTCTTGATGTAGCTATTTCATCACGTTCTTCTTCACGGTAGAAGATGGACTGTAGTTTGTAATAGGACTTAGTAGCCTAGTTAGTGGATGATGTGCTGGAGTTTGAAGCGAAAGGTACTAGGTTCCAGTTCTAATATAAACATCAGCATTGAGATATAGATAAATATGATAAATCCCGAATGGTATGGAACGCTTGTCCCGAATTCCATCACTGGGAATAGTCCATCAATCCAAAACAAATATATAATATGGCTTTTACGTTTTCACTGTCTATTCAATAGTGAGCATTGAAGGTCACACCAGAAATCGGACTCAAAACCTTCAGTTTTCTCAGGGAACACTTAACTTTTAAACGACTGAGTCAGAATTCAGCGGTTTAGTTTACATTTCTAGCTTCAATTAATTCATGATATTGAGCAACCATGTTCCATTGGAATTGATAGGTAACTTCCTAACACGCAACGTAGTTGAACTCCATTGGTCACAGCTTCTATCTAAGACCCTGAGTACTACTTTTCCAAATTACTTATTAAAAGAGTACATTATACCTGTCATAGGATTGTGGAAATCAATCTGTGATGTAAACTATGAAATCCAATCTTTGCAAACCCATTATGGTAATGAGACTTAGATGAAGAATTATTAACCAATAAATCAACTTCATTCTGTTTAACTTGACATTCATCAAACATTTATATACGAATTCAAATGATTGATTACCTACTTAACATAATTCACAATTTTACCACCTTGTTGGATTTTTGTAAGATTAGGGTCGTCGGTATCCACATCCGTTTGTATATCTTAGATTGTAGAACTATATAGTGAAACAAATCTTAGATAAATTGATTCATGAATTCAGTAAAAAAACAAAGGTATTAATTTTACACAAAATAAGCTAGGGAATAAACTTTTTGAAAAAACAACATTTACAGCTATACACTGAGAAGCAAAAGCTTCATTGATTTCAAATATATCAACGGATTCCATCTTCCAACCAATTTTAGATAATAGTCCCCGAATAGCGTAGATAGGACCAAGGCCCATCAGTTCTGGTTCCAGACCAGCTTGATGCCAGCCTATAATACGAGCTAGAGGACGACGAGACCCTGTGAAACAAAGTGAAAGGAGACACAAACAGAACATTTAATCTAAACAGGTGAAATCGCAATGTTATATACAGTTACTCGGTGGAAATCGGCTTCGGTAAAGTAATTGTGGGGACAAATTAATAGGTTCAGGTTAACCAGATGCCATCGTCACACACCGACCGTGGTTCACACTATAAAGTCTGTAATCGAAACTAGATTGATTGGTGATTAATGTCTAGTCTCAATGATAATAAAAACGCAAACTGGTTCGGTACTAATAACGAAGTTGGGGTTTATTTGACAATATATTTTTCAGCAAATTGGCATTTTTGAAAATGATGAATCAAGAAAGTTCCATATTAAACTAAGCCCCCAAATGCCCTGGTATGGCCGAGAGTGGGGAGAGTCCGCTCTCCCTCTCGAAATGCTCTCAGATGGCCATGCGTATATAGCCTCTGCCAGGGAAGTCCTACTCACTGCCTTCTCGTGGCATTACTGTTGTTTACGAAAATGAGAGGACGAAAAGCGAATGTCCGGCGCTTTAACCGGACCCCAAACCAATGGTGCACATGGGCTCCAGTATCCTGAAGGAACAAATGGCGTATGAACCAATCGTTGGTCACCGGCTACCATGGGACTGCATCTCCTCATGATGCTCCACTGCCTTGTGGGTCAGACGTTTAGGTCGAAGGCTCGGG